AATTAAAATTAATGTAAAATATAAAATAAAAAAAATTTATATAAATGGACTATAATATAAAAAAATGTAAGTATATAAAATAATTTTTCCTGGCCTCATAGATTTTGTCTTGTCTTTGTAATTCTAAAAATTATTTAAAAAATTCATTCCAATATAGAAAAACAGTATGAGCACCTAATGAAAGAGAAAATTCTGTAGAATTAAAAAATGAAAACTTTTCGGTTCACAAGGACGAATAGGTATTGAATATGTCCTTTTAATTAGTTTTTTTTCGAAAATAATTATTGTAAATTTCAAGGATATTCAATTATAAAATGTAGAAGGGACATTTTCAATACCTAATCGTCCTTATGCACCAAAAAACTTAATGGGCCTTAATTCTACAGAATTTTCTCTTTAATTTGATATTCGAAGTGTAATTCTACATTGTACTGATTTTTTAAAATAATTTTTTGAATTAATTATATTTTTACAATTTCAAAGTCCTTAAAAAAAATCCCAACGCCAGAGAGAAAAACTAAAAACGCAGTTTTACTATATTTGGCCCATGGTTTCGCGAATATATAAATTTTTTTTTTGTGTGTAAAATTTAATGTCGCACCGTGTAATCATTATATACCATTTATGGATTTAAAATGATAAACTTGGAGTGCATGTAACAGACTTGAAATTATATGCCAAATGATATGTAAATACCCAATACCGATTTTTTTTACCAATTATTGATATCGATCACGGTAAATCGACCTGAAATTTCAATGCCCGTTATATTGTTAGTATGAATTACCTAATGAGACAAAAGTTACTGTAATATCATTTTATTGACTCTAGACTAACTGTTAATTAAATCTAATACAGTTGTTAAGGAACTTTATTACTTCAAGTCTACTGCAGCGCTCCACGTTCCTTATTTTATATCTCATAAATAGTTTATAATGGCTATGCGTCTAGAAAAAATAATTTTCAATTTATTATTCCATTTTTTAATAAAGTGGTATATTAAAAAGCATTTTTTTTTTAATTCTAATCATAAAATGTTGCAATAGATATAAAAAAAGTTAAACGATATTCAGATTTATGCTATTGTCTGTTTCAACATTTATATTTATTCATATGTATGTAAGTATGTATATAAATATTTATACAAAGTTAGATGGATATGACATTTCGAATATGTGGCAACCCCAATCAAAACTCCTTTTTCTGACACTCATATTTTAATACATAACTTGTGTATATTTTAACTTAACCCAGCTTTTATAGCATGTGGTAACCCTCTTTAAAAGGATTTTCAAACTAAAACATTTTAAAATCTCTTTCATCTGACATTGTGACGCATGTTCATTGAAATTTAACAGATGAACTAAGTTAAATTAGATTTTATAAACCGGTAGCTACCCTCTACTTGTAGCGATTCTGCATTTTTATCTCTAGATTAATACTCCTGCTGTACGACTCTACTTTGAATCTCTGCTCCACTTCAGAGAGCAACTATATCTCAGAGGGGTTTGTGTGCCTGGATTCGTCTGCTTCCTAATTTCTCTGAACACCACTACGCTCTAGGATTCAGTAAAGAGTAACGATGTTTTGTTTAATTAATTAATAATTAAAGAACCCTGCAGCAATCTGGAAATCTGTAAATCAGATAACATTCCTCTGTCCAGTTTCAATCTGTGAAGCTTGGAATCTACTTAGTTGTTGCTTGACATCCTTATTTCATGTGGGAAATTTCAAAATTGTGACCGAGATCTCTGCTAAGTAATTTTACTTATATAACTTTAAATTTTGACCACCCGGTTCCCATACAACACCACTCCAAATGTGCTAGTAAACGATGAGAATAGTTCTCATGAGAATAGAAATTCAGTCTCATGAGAAAGAATATTTGCTCTACGATTAAAGTAAATATCCATTCTCATTACTAACTAGACGGTGAGAATGAGAGTGAATATCTGGTCTCATGAGAATTATTCGCATCGTTTACCAGCACCTTTAAGTTACCCCCTGAAATTTTCCCAACTTCAAGTGTTTTCAACATATATATATTATACCGATTTATAGTAACGTAATTACTTGAGAGAGCGTTCTTTTTAAATTCTAGTAGTTTAAAGTTAACTTTTTCAAATCCTGGCTGATCTCGATTTTTCGAAAATTTAAAATTTTTCCATGAAAAATTAGGGTGCTCAGTGGCCCTCATTAATATTAAAATGTTCGAACAAAAAAAATACTTATTTACCCTTTTGGACAAAGAACAAATTGTCGGGTTCCGTTGATTTTCTACTACGAAAAAAATTTTGGACCACCCTAGCGTGACGAATTTATATGAAATAACCAAAATTTGGGTTGAATTACATATCGAATACATATATAACATTTGCCAGTAAAAAAGTATCAGAGTATTATGTAATTGACAGAAGTTACAATAAAATACATAGGTCGGACACTATTGCTATTTTTTTTTCGAAAAAAAAACCATACATTATATAAAGCTAGAGGTAACTTCGTCAATTTTTGACCGTTGAGTAGTATACCATAAATTTTATAATTTCAAAGTATTTCCCCCTCAGAGCCTATTTTAATGCCAGCATGACCTCTTTCAACATCAATTCGCTTGTGGCATACATATCTACATACATACATACTTGCCATTTAGGCTGACACAAATTACGCCAGTGTCAAGCAACAAAAATGCGAAAGAGCTAAATGGAGCACAGCCACAAAAAAAAATGTTGGTAAAAAAAGGACTTGGGGAAAACTTTTTCAAAAACCGCCAAAAGTTTATCACACACACAAATACTCACACAAATACTACGAATGCATGCAGCACATAGGCATATAATTTAAGAACACCCCAAATACATGCAAATTTTTTCGCAACAACTGGCATGAACTCATTATTACGAGAAAAGCGTAGGCAGCAGAATCCAACAAATATAGCAGCACTCAACAAGATATACACAGCGTAGGTAGATATGTAAATAAATAGCAGCCGAAGGAAAAAAATTATAAAAAACACACACAGATGCAGCGGGTGGTGCGTTGGAAAAAGAACTAGCAAAAACGCCTTAAAGTAGGCCAAAAATAGTAGATGCACGGGTTGTGCGAGTACATAGTATGCCAAATGTCTGAGAATGCGAATTGCTGAGCATACATACATATCTCCATACACTCATATCTATGTATAAATTTAATAAAAAAAAATATATTAGTATATACTTACATATATATTTATGTGTAGATAATCATACGTATGTATGTGTATAAAAGCTATGCGAATTCTTGTATACTTTTTGGGCAAATACCAACAAATTCAGCGCTCACTGTCAGTGTTGCCAGCATAAACACACATGCACGTACATAAATAAATATGTAATACCCTAAAAAATAACTTTGTTAGCCGAGTGCTGGCGAGTGGAGGTTAAAAGTGGTTAAAAAAAAATTTCATATTACTTAGCATTTGTAGGTGTGTGCGTGTAGTTGCAAGTGGTTATGTACAAATGAGCTCTTCTTGGCCTCAATTTATTTGTTTATTACGAAACTGAATGGGCAAGGACATGAAGCAAGCAAATTTCCACATAAACAGAGAGGATTGCATAGAGTATACGCTGGCACAAAAAAAAAAGAACGAACACGAAAAAAAGAGCGAAAACTATTTTTGAGAGAAATAGATACAATCACAAAAACATGCAGCAAGAGCGTCCACAAGGAGATGAAATTTTACTCGTAGGCCTCTTTGAGTGCTCTTCAAAGGAAAACAGAGAGAAGAAGTCAGCAGCCTGCCGTTGGTTGCAAAAAATTGAACATATTTTGGACTTGGCAACAATTTTAACATTTCTCAACATAAGTGCTGAGGTTCGCAATATGAAAACTAAAAAAAAAAAAAAAAAAATCATTGTATATAGTGCCAAAAATAGACATCCATTTAAGCCCGAAAGTTTTGTGGCAGTAAAGAGAAAGTCACTTATTTGTGGGAATGATGTGAACAGGATGTTAATGTCTGCTGTTAGAGGAGCATAGAAGTTTAATCAATGGATGTTGCAAGGCAAAATGTGAATGAAATTTCAGCAAAGGCAAGGCGATTGAGGCTGTATACATACACACACGCATACATACATATGTACATATGCGTAATCAAATAAAGTGAGAAAGGGAATGACTTGGGAATTTATTTATCCCAAAGGGTTAAAATGAATTTAGCTTTTAGCATTAATTAAAAATATAGCAATGAGTACAGTGGAAGTGTATGTAAACCATGGGCGGTGCCACTTTAATAATTTTTTCAATAATTTCTAGAAAAAAGTTCGTCGTACACCCTTGACTGTAAGCTGTGTGTGTGTTTTTTTAAGGCAAATTCTAAAGAAAAAATGTAATGGGTATTCATTTAAATGCTTAAATGCCTCGTAACAGCATAAATTTCGTAAATAAACCTGTTTTTCATACAAAAAATTATCAACAAATTTCAAATTTTCTAGTGGAATAATTTTTTTTTTATTTGAAGGAAACCCTATATTTGTTTTCAACTAGTTTTTTACGTAACATTCATTAAAAATTTCTCCAAAATTGCTGCTTTCTAAGCTCTTTGCACTAAAAAAATTAAATAAACAAATAGAAATTTAATTATCTTTTTGATTAACTTTTTTTTAATTTTTTTTTATTGTTTTCGAAACGTTTCAAAGGTCCTAAGATTTCAGGATTTTTCGAGAATTTCTAGGATGTGGATATTTTTGTATGAAAAACAAATTCGGATTTTCTTATTCGAAATATTAACGTTAGAGTTCATGACAAATGTGTCCTTTTTTAAACTGAACGAACTCTGGCCTATCGTTTAACTGATTCTTTCCCATGACGGTCATAAATTTCATTTAAGTAACAATATTATGAACAAAATTTCATGTGATTACCTGTAAATTTCAAATGTAAAATTTTTTTATCCTTTTTATGAACACGATCTTTCAAAATTTCCTTCGTGATATAGTAACTTAAAACAGGTATTTACTTACCGGACAACCATCCGATATATATTTCAAGCTATCATCGGTTATATTAGAGCACGATTGCAAATTGATTGCTGTTAATCTTGCACAGTTTTTGCTTATTGACTGTGTCGATATATCGGTGATCTTCTTGCATTCGGATAAGTCCAAGTTTTCTATGTTGGGGCAGTGAAATGCTAATGTTCTGAAAGAGTTAATAAAAAAATGGAGAATAAATTAATAAGAGTTCACAAAATTGAAAGTAAACACTAGAAATTTTAAGGCGAAATGCATTGAAAACCTCAAAACCCCGATTTTTTTTTTATTCCAATGCATAGTGGAAAGTCTACTTAACGCCTATCATTACCTTATTGATTTATCAACAACTGATTGACAGCCGCGCAATGAAAGAAATTTCAAAAAGCCACCACATCGTTGGGATATATTTTCAATAACTGGACCCTAAATGTGAAAAAATAATGAAAATTTAATTTGTTTATTGATTTGCAAAAAAAAAAATATATATATATAATTTCAAATGACTTTGACTGACCTCGATGTCACGTTGAAAATCAAATAAATTGATTTTCTGCCAACTCGACCCATCCAAGGCTAGCACATTCCAATATTTGCAGACCTTAAAATAGAATAAAAATAAAAATTGGCAATTAAATTTTTGATAATTTGTTATTAAATAAATATTAGGAAAGTCCAATATGGGTGTGATATAATGAGCAAAAAATATGTAAATATACATTAGGGGTATTCATCTAAGGTCACAAATACGGTTTTACTCACAATTGCTCAGGTAAATGCGCATAGTTTTCACGACGATCTTATAAACCTTCGTAATTATATTAAAGATATGTACCATAACAATTTTAGAAAGAAAATGGGACTATGTTCTTCTAAAGCACAAATAATTCCCCTCATGCAAAATATGAGAAATAGGCCAATTTGTTGTCGTAATGAGATATGGGCAACATCATTTCTTTCATGTCATTTTAGGAAAATGTTATCAAAAATTCCCAAACTGATGAATCTCGCGTCAACGGAATTCTCCAAAAGCATCAAATTTGTGCCAAAGGGAGGAGTGAAACACATAGGAATCTCCATAGCGAGGGAAGTAACAATTTTTTTCTTTAAATTCTAATTTTGTATTCAAAAACAAATGAAATATTAAAGAGAATAAAATTTTTCTAAGTAATTATTTTCCAAATAGCGCCTGTAATAAAGCGACAAAAAATTACTTATTTAGGTAATAAGAAAACGACTCGACATGGCGCGTTACCGAGGGCGACACGTTTTCTTATTGCCGGCAACAAAAATTGTCTGGTGGGTTATGTTCATTTAAATTCGTTCGGAATCCAAAAAAACACTGTAGCCACAACATTTTTCTGAGGTTAGGTCACCTTTGCCTTTTTTGTCGCGGTGAGCTCAGACGAGTCCCATTTTGGCGGATAATGATGATAGAGAACCATAGTTTCGTCGCCAGTAACAACTGAACCCGATTTTTTTTCTGTAGGCCCTTACTAAAAACTAAGTACAGCACTTCACTCGTTTTTATTTTCGAACAGCGGAAATAAGTTTTAGGACCCAACTTGCACTGACCTTACTCATACCCAAATATTCATGTAGGATTCTAAGCACTGTCCAGTCTGCCTTTCAGTACTGTCTCCTCCACAAATTTGATGTTTTTATCCGTGGCGAAAAGTCCAATAATTAAGTGACATTAAAATTTTGTATCTCCGGCAAATCGAATGAGGGAAGGCCAAAAATTTTGGACGTTACAACGTAAGTATACATTTTTATGAAATTAAAGTGCTCACTTGTCCATCATTAATATTTATGCCTTTTTGATAACACTCCTTCAGCAGAGGTACATATAAAGGCGATTTTTTTTTTGGATTTACAGACATCATTTGCGAGAAAAGTTTTAAAACTTTTGCTTTTTTTCTTTTTTTCCAATTCGCAATTTCAAAGTCAAGAATCAAATGTAGAACACATTTTTGCGGTGTCACTGAAATTCGCGCGTCAGCATAGATACACGCCCGCCGCAAATTTACAAACAAATAAACAGGCAGAGACAAACCAGCAAAAGTACATAGATCCATGCGCTCACATTCAACTTGAACTTGAAAACACTGCCTAGACGTTATCACGAATACATACATACGACATTAGACTGCATCACTCCCCATACAAAAAAAAAAATAAAATCGGTACTGTTTTTCCACTAAAATTAGAAAATGTATTATATTTTAAGACTTGCACCAAAATATTTCGGTAAAATATTAATATTTACGTGGGCTGGACTGGATTTGAAAATACTTCAAAAAATTGAGTTTTTTATGAATAAAAATATATATATTTTTTAATTGGGAACGTGAATGGGCTTTTATGAAAAGAAATAAAAAGGGTGAGAAAATATCTTTCGAAGGATATCTCATAAACCTAAGTCGGTATAGTTTCGGCCCAGTTATTTAAGTTTTTCTTAAACCAATCTTTGAAAAAAGCTATAAATTTTGGAATTTTTTGTTTAAATATTTTTATGCAGGTTTTTAAACTTAAACTGTTTTGTCATCTTAGGGGATTTTTTCAATAAATCCTTCAAGAAACTAGTTTTATTCATAAAAAACTCAATTTTTTTTAATTATTTTCGAATCGGTCCAGCTCACGTAAATCTTCATATTATTTCCGAATATTTTGGTGGAAGTATTCAAATATAATATCTATACTTTGTAATTCTGTAGGAAAACCCGAAACTTTTTTTGGTGATGCAGTCTAATGTACATATTTAAAATATATGTATGCATGTATGTACAAAAAAAACTGATATTTAACATGTTTGCCAATTTAAGCGTAAAATACAAAACAAAAATTATAGCACACCTATAAACCCTAATTTTAGAAACATACAACATACATATATAGGCAAGCTTCAAACGATTATTGATAAGAAATTGTTAGAAACGAATTAGTGGCACGTGTGATTATGATTGAGCATAAATAATAAAATTTTCAATATAAAGGCAGTAATGAATGCTATTTTGCTATTTTAAATAACTATTTCCCGATCACTTTAAATATAAAAGGATTTTCAAAAGCGGAGGTAGATTCATAGGAGAACTAAAAATTATGCTGCAGCATTTCAACTCTGGAAAAGCACTTCAACTACGGAGACTGGTACACTTAAAAATCGAAAAAGTCATAAGCCATACATACAAGTAAATAATAGGTAGCGTTAAGGTCTCCAGGACAACGGTGTTATACGAGTATCCGAAAGTTTTACGGGTGGAAGTAAGTATAATCGTCCGCCAGAATCTGTGAACAGAAATAAGCTTAGGAAGAGATTGTCGTAGAGTGGCAAGCCTCTCACAGAAAGCTCACAAGTTCTTATCTCAGGATTTTGATATATCAAATAGATAATATATTTATTGTTATCAGTTTTGTTACGCAAATTGCCGCACGAGCAAAAAGCAATGCAGAATACGACGCTTTTGTATGTAAATAAATTAAATAAACAAATAAATTAAATAAACAAATACATTAAATAAACAAATAAATTAATAAATATAAATTGGATTAATAAAAATCGGTGTTTTATTATTGAAGTGATAGCAGTGAATGTGATTACGTATTTATGCTACTCGCATACCAATAATTCAAGGTTTATCTTTGCGTCATCGAGGTGAAATTTCATGGCGGAAAAATCACGCATTAAAAGAGCCTCCACCACGTGAAAGCTACGTAGAGCGATTTGTAAATAAACAACTTTCAGTGGAAGAGATCAACACACTTCTTGAAAGTCGTTTGCGTTGATTACACTAGTCGGCAAAAAGCAAATATACATTTTTTTTTATAGAAATTACAACTTTCCTTGAAATATTTTAAGTTGCCACAAAACAAAAATACACCATTCTAGTCTTTTCTTATTCTGATCAGTAAAATTTTAACATAAGTATTGATAGATTTAAGAGTAATTTGTTCACAATATTATGTTTTAGCTAGTCTGTAAGAAACTAAATCTGTAGACTGAAATTAAAGAAATAAATAAATAAATTCATAATATTAATTGAGCTTTCGGTCGAAAAATAGTTCAAATGCAATTTTTGGTCTTTAATAAGCAGGTTTACAGGGTAATTGTGGCAACTGTCTTTCAACACACTACAGTCTTTCGAAAGACGAAAAGTCTTTCGTAAAATAATTGTCAGTTCTGGCAACTATTTTGAAAGCTCTTTTCTGTCTTTCGAAAGACTAATCGAAAGATCTGAAAACGCAGAGGTCTTATTAGTAAACGGAAAGGCAGTTGCCAGAATTGCCCCATTAGCGTTATGCTGCTCGCCTTTTAGCAATCAGTTTTTTAAAAATTAAACAAAACTAAAAAACTATACATATATTTTTTTCGTTTTAAAACCATAAAAACAAGAAAATAAAAAGTAATTGAGTTAAAAAAAAGGAAAATGAAGATAAAGCAAAAATAAAAAATTATTTTTAAAACTTATATACAATTAAGAAAAATGTATATTTTTTTACATATTTTAAAGCAATAATAATCTAAACACTAAATTATAAAAAGAAAAACATAAATCAAAAAAGATGAAAGTAGCACTAAAAAATTTAAAATATTTTTATTTTTAAAACCAAACTAAAAGAAACTAAATTAAAAAAGAAAAACAAATCAAATTAAAAAATACAAGTTTCTAAAAATTTAATTAGTATAAAAAAAAATATATATTTTTCTTTTTTAAACAGTGAAATTTAAAAGTTAAAAGAAAATTAAACTAAAACAAGTCTTTCGAACTATCTTGCCATCTGTCTTACATTTGTCTTACGTAAGACTTTTTCCTATCTTAGCCAGAATTACCCTGTTAGTTAAGTAAAAATTATGTTGGCCTAGACTGACTACGAAAACTGATAGGGTAACTCTTTGTTTAAAGCTGAGGCTCAAATCACATAATTATGTTTGAGCCAGTATGCAGAAAGTGCGGCGACTAACAAACACAACTCACATTCGCAAAGCAGGCTGACATTAAGTATTTGCCTGTAAGCATATGAGGTCAATTTGAAAGCTACTGTGGGATTGCCTTCAACTACTAATTATCATCGCATTCAGAAATCATGAGCAATGAAGTGACAGAGAGGAAAGCGGCAGCGTAGCGATTTATTGGCCCAGAACCATCGTGTTTTATTTTTATTTTTTTAGGCACTGATAATAAAAATGAAATGTTGCGTGATTGTTTCTTAGGATTTTTGTGAGCCGTTTGAACGCTCGGAGGGAAATCGGAATTTACTCCATCAGCATAGGTTCCAAACAGAGCACCTTCTATGGCTAGACTGGCTGCTCCTCGTTGCACGCGACGCCGGTGCCTCAGAATCCGGTACTGCTGTACATCTGTACCAGCATGAAGCAAATCCATAGCTTCCCTGCGCTCCGCTACACTTCTTGGTGAAGTGCTGTGCGATAGTAGTGGCTTTATGCCAGCCTTACTGCCGATATAGAGATTGACGGGTCTATTTTCTAGATTTCCGCGCAGACGATTGTTGCTGCCCCTACGGCTTTCATCATCTTCGACGCGTCTATATTCAATGAGCCTTTACTCCTCATGCCCTCATGCCATCCCTTGACCTCTACAG